TCCTTCCACCGAGTTCCTGTTCCAACCAATGGCTTCATTCACACGCTCCGCTCTCCTGAATGTCTGGCAAACAGTGCTCCTGAGCCGCCAGCTGAGTCACCTGGGACACGGACCGACCTCCGCACGTCTAACCAATCCATGCCAGACCAGGTGTTGAAGGCGGTGACAATGGAGTACCATCAACGGGTCAAAGGTGACACAAACACAAATGAGATATGAGAAAAACCAGTGTGAACAATGGAGTACCTTGCACGAGCCACAAATGAATTAAGCCACCTCACGACGATCGCTCGCGAAATCATGTTAAAGCGTTCAGAACGCGGGAGTCGCATCGATGTATGTAGTGCTTGGAGAGCCCACGATGTATCGCCGTGTATGAACTGGAAATGCCTGGGTTCAAAGTAGATGAGACCTCCTGCGGGATGGACTTGCCGGCGACTCTGAATGTGTACTGGTTCCCAATCTGAGGGAAGCACAGGCCAGCAAAACCAGAAAAGGCAGTGGGCACACGGGGTTGGGGGGAGTTGTTTCAAAGTCAAATCAAATCTATTCAAGTCTGTTTGACATTGTTTGACCATGACCCATCCACATCTCTGGAGGCGTAGTTCAGTCCACGAAATCCTGGTCGATGCGTGCCGTCAAGGGAACCACACGCGGTTGCGGTCAAGGGAACCATCGATATGCATGGTGAGTGGCTTTGCCGTCTTTGGAGAGCCATTGCAACGAAATCGGATTCCCGAGATTATGGGTACACTCTGAAGTGGAATGAAACTACAAATGTTTCCATGAATCCTGGGTAGTAGAGGTGGTCCGTGCAAATGCTGAATAGACTTGGTGATGGATCAAGCAAGTCTGCCAAGTGCCAAGTAAGTCTGCAAAAGTGGATGCATATCAAAACATGGTCAAACCATGTACCCCTGTGATTCACAGCAAATTATACACTCTCACTCACTAACATGGAAGTGGAAAATGGTCCCTTGGAACACTACTTTCCTTTACGATCAGGGGGGGTTCCACTTCCATGTTAGTTTGTCGGAGCGTAGCCCAAACGGTCTTGACTCGCAGTAGCAGCCAAGCAGCGTAGTCAGGAAAGAGTAAACTTCCTGGCTGTCGATTTTTGCATCACAAGAAAATGAAATGCTCTCAGATGATGATGAGAGTGATTCCACCAAAAAAATGATCAAACCGCAACAATTGCTTCACACTCAAAGAATATCGAATACAGTATCTGAAAGCCTGCCAGACCACGGCATCTGGACCGACTAGACCTGTGTGCCTTTTCAACCCTTTGTGTTTGGAGGCGGGACTGGGCCTGGAACTCCTGCCAGCCGACCCATGATCCCTCTTATGGTATATAAAGCAGGAGGCTCTGAATGGCGCAACATTTGGGGGAACCACCATGTTCCGTGCTGCATGCGTCGGAGCACCGCTTCGTCTGCCGCAGAGAGACCGGCTGCGAAACCACGGCCGGGTGGGTGCGCTCCTCTTGCGCTGGTGACCCCGCTAAGCGCAGCAAGACCAGACAGGGCGCACCTCGAGACGGAGAGAGCTGGCGAGGAAAGACGAAGAAAAACGTGGCTCGACCCCGGCAGCACCTGGCCGGGCACGGTGAAACCGCGTGGGTGGCGGACGTGGAGTGGAAGGACATCATATGGGAACCATGTTCTTCCAACATCGGGACTTCACAAACATGGTTTGACAGCTTTTGCCATTGGATGGATGGCAAAAAAAATAGGTCGCATCAATGGCGAAAGAAATACATTCAACGATGTGACCTTCTTGTCTGGCGGAGAATTACAACGAAGTTTGGCATGTCGAATGAAACCCGTGAGCAGCGTCATCGGAGATAGGATCCCAAGATCAAAAACTGGACACTCAAATGTGCTCCATCGGCTGAATGAGTTGCCCCCTTCTCTGGCTGCTGAGTTGCCCCATCGCACCCCAGGTCTGGCTGCGTTCGGTCTATGTCCGGCTGGCGCGGCATGGGCTGGCGGCATCGGGTCCGGAGAATGCGATCGGACATCACTTATCCATAAGGCGCCACGTATACATCCCTTTAGCAACATATAAATCATGGCTGCTGTTCTTGCCCAAAGCAAATCCAGAAGAATTCCCTGACTCATCATATAAATGGACGTTTCTTCTCAAGCTCCAATGGCTCGTTCGGGCAAGGCATCACACTCATGGCCCCGGTTGATGCGAACCATGCTTCCCTGCATCCAAATCGACCATGTTCCCTCGTCTGCGATCCAATCTGATCCCCCAGGATGATCTCACGTCGTTCCAGTCCTTTGGCGTTCGGAACCGGGCGGAAGACCGTCCCCACTCCACCTATTACAAGGTCCCCAAAAGGACTGAAAAAGGATCCAACTGAGACTGGATCTGGTGAAAAACTGGATCCAACTGGATCCAACTGGATCTGGTGAAAGAGGATCCAACTGGATCTGGTGAAAAACCCGCTTGTTTCTAGCACAAACAGAGCCACTATGAGCCGCATTTCATGCCACCGGCTTTAATAAAGAGGTGGCCCGATTCCGATTCTGCCGCTGGATTCCGGATCCGACGTCGTATAGCTTCTAGCTACGTTCGTAGCGATGCACGTGTTACTCGTTGCTTCTGCCCCTGCGACGTTCGTCGCTTCGAGCGAAGCACTTCTGGTAATGAACATCAATTGAACTTACAATTCTGTCGTTGAAGACAAGCCTGCAACGTCGGAATATTTCCCTAAACCCTAAACCTTGAGGGTAGAAAAAATAGAGTTTGAAACCTTCCAGTGAGTGAACCTTTGGAATACCTTCAAACCTTCAATGCTGTTTCAAGGTCAGTTCCAGTTCTCAAAATAGGTTTCAAACCTTGTTCAAACAGCAGAATTGGAACTGACCTTGTTCGAGGCACTGGAACAGACCGCTCGACACCGCCCACCCCATCCCACTCCCCGACCGCCATCGACCGGGATTCACGGTCAGACCGTTCTTTTTAACTCATATTCTCGTTGTCATTTGCTGCGGTCTTCGGTCAGCTCTCTTAAGACCCAATTACGGATATCATGGCTATACCGAAAGGCTCATTGGACCCTCATAGCTATACAACTAGGGACTTTGGACCTCACACATGTAGCAGTTTGAGGGTCCATGAGCCTCTGGGTAGAGAGCTTCTGTCGATAGGATGGACCTTCCCCCTGGCAAACCAAAAGCTCTGCTTGGAAAACTCTCAGACAAATGATGTAAAAAACACAAATCAAATGGGCACTCGTCTTGCAAAGTAACTGTAATGTTGTTTTGGACAACTAAACAAAATTGTTCCTGGTTTTCACACATACAACGGCCCAAACGCCAAGCTCATCCAAGCTCAGATTTGCCATTGAAGAAGGGCCATCAACAACTACGGCATAGCGAGCGAAGCTAAAGCCGGCAGTCGATGCCAATGCAATCCGGCCGTAGGCTTGTCGTGAAGGAACAGTCACAAAGAGTAGAACGGATAGAACGCAGGGTACACGAGATGCCGTGTACCTTGAAGAACACATGTTTTCATAAGCAGGTGCTTTTGTGGAATCGACAGATTCATGTACTACGTTTTCGTACTTGTACTATTTCCTCAAGGCCTCAAGGTATTGGCTGTATCTCGAAATCGTGTCTTTGCAAAGCCCCCAAGCACCCATCTCACAACCGAAGACTGGTGTTCTTTCTCAATGAGAATTGAATCACATTGAATCACCCATGAGCTTAAGGGAAGGGGTGAAGGACCTTCAAGTTCTCTTCAGAATGAGACCGATGAGACCATATGAGGCCCTTGACCCACCAAAGCCACCACCAACCCCACAATTGTCTAAGAGGTGCATGTAACAGCTTGGGTGTCAACTTGCAAGGTGGACGCCCAAGCTGGGGCACGACCAAGCAGTCACAAACAAAGTATATACCAAGCCTGCGGGGAGACATAAAGGCCATCCGCACCGGGGTGGTGCGTCCGGTTTCTTTCATCCCTGCTGAATGACCTGGAGTTAGACTCACCATCTCGTGCTTCCAGATGCTTCCAGCTTCCGCTGGGAGGACCGGGTGTTTCCGGTCGCTGCGGCGATGTCTACACGGCCTGGATTCGCTCTATGGTACACGGCGCGCATCGGTGCTCCATCAAACACCACACGTGTACGTGACCCCGGCCAGTTGAATCGGTGCGAAAGGCGTCGCATCATGTCGCATCCAAAGATTTGTGAGGATAGACCAATTTGGCCAATAGGTCTGCACACCTAGACAAGTGTGGTATAACCACAGGCAAGGTAGGTGGCAACGGGCATCATCTAGTGATTAAGTCTGTGTCTTATGAAGGTCCGGCCCCGGCTCGAGTAGAAAAAAGCAGAGTTAAGCAGCACTCAAAACGTCAAACACGTGATGTCTAGTTCTATAAAGCAACTCCTCTGTATGCCCGTTGCCCTGCCACCCAAACCCTGGTGTGAATCCGAACATCTTGCCGCTCGCAAAGCCAACTCCGGCTTCACTTCCCTTCCACTGCGGTCAGGGAATTCGCCGAAAAAGTGCGCTGTTAAAAATCTGCCCGGAGAAGGAAAAGAGGTTGAAAGAGAGGCCTCGCAAAACCAGGTTTAATGATGTCATGCAAGGCATCTGGACTGCCGCCAGTTTTTCTTGTTCAACTCATCCTTGAGGCCACCCTTTCGTATCTCCATGTATCTCCTATCTTCAAAAATGGTCCATCCAAATGCAATGATAGCCAACCTGATGTTGGGGCAATCTGGGAAGAGAGGGGACTATGAAATGTCATGTTTCTCACATACAAGAGAGTCACTAGTAGTCACTACTCGTAGAGAACACCACTGCACACTGCACAGTTACTCGAAAGCTTTATTATATACTAAGAAGTTTCAAAGACATACTAGAAAGTTTATTGTTACTACGGGTGAAACGATTCCCAGTGAAACGATTCCCAAGGAAGCTTCTAGCTACTAGATAGGAAATTCGGATTCGGTTTCAACTCTCCGGCCTCTTGGATCACAAGCCAGGTGGCCTGCAAGCTGTCGGCATATGCAGTTGTTATGTTGCTGTCACTGAATTGATCGCAAACATTGCACGCCATTGCAAAACCAAAACGATTTGAGGATGATGGCCGATACAATTGAATTAATATCTGCATGGATCCAAATAATGAACGACATTTACATGGGGGAGTTTACTTTTGATGTGTGGAAACTAACTACCCCAATAAAGCAATTGGCCTGAACTTGCCTCATCCTGTCTAGGTAAGCGAGACAAGAACAACTTGGTGGCTTCGAGGTAGAAACCATGTCATGTAGATGCAAGCCATGCAGTCAAGGCCATCCTCAGGTCAAGGACGTTTCACTACACTTTTCACTACTTGTCATAAATATATAATATATATTATATATATAATGTTAAAATTAATTTATTAGTATAAATTATGTATTCAAACAGGATTGGAGTCACGTCTGAGATCAACTTGCACAAGCACTTTTCCATGCGCCACGGATTCTTTTTCAGGTTGACAAACGCTTCAAAGAGGCTTGCAAACGCTCTCAGCCCCACTCAAGGAGGGATGAAAAAGCGGCCGTGGCAATCCCTGAGATGGAAACTCTAGGTGTGGCGTGCCAAAGGCCAACAAGAGCCGGGCATGCTCTTCCTGCACAGGATTCACGACACGGATTCACCACTTTGGACTGAGGTCCACCTTCCACCCTCCGCTGCTTACCAAGCACAAGTACCCAGGGGCCCTCAAAACCATGAAAAATAGAGGTTTTCACATACCAAAAGCAGTATTTGTGTTGCTAGGGGAAATCAAGTTTTTGATGGTTTGTGGTGACCCTGGTTGTGTAATATATATCCATACATCACCGACTACTGGCTGATCATGTTCTCCCACAGTGTGGATGAGAATAACACCCACACTGTCCGACATCCAGAGCCCGGTCGAACGATCGATGTCCACGGAAACGTGGAAACATCGTCCCACGGAGCCCGTCCAAACATCGTCCAACATCGTGAAGGTTTCCTGACGCGAAAACGACAGTCCTCAAAATCTCTTCTAGACTCTACAGTCCTCAAAGGTGTCGTTTTTTCCTCGTTTTGGACTGTCCTCTGTGAGTTCCTCCTTCGACGCATCCAGTGCGGCGGTCCGGCAGAGTGCCACGCTCTGCACCGAGAGCTTGGACCAGGCCCACACCATCGCAGAGACGTCTCCAAGGGTGCGGTCCTGTGGTCGAGTCACATGTTAAAAGAAGTGCTTCCAAGTGTTGCGCGAATGGGTGTTTGATTGGAGAGACCCAGTAGGGCCAGTAGGGTCAAGTCAGGTGACCCCGAACGGAAGCCTGGTGTAGCTCGTCGACGGAGTCTTCATCGATCGAACGTGCATGAACCAACGTGGGCCTCCAAAAGATCTGTTCCAAGAGCGGTTTTGCACTCGAACCTTGCTGGGATCTCCATTGAACTGGGAGTGGATTCTGAAAAAAAAAGGCCGGCACCAAATCTGGAAGGTTGGTTGGTGATTGTATGTGATTGTGAGATCAAAACACCAAAGCCGGCATCATTTCCGGGAATACCAAAACGACTAAGAACCCAAAACCGGTCCTTGGATCTGAATTTGGATCTTTGGATCTGACATTTGGAGCTGCTAAGCCATCTGAGCGAGTCCTTTTTGAGTTGGTCTAGTCATTTGAGCGCAGAAAAAGCGGAAAACGCGACGAGTCTGTTTCGTGCTCCTCCCGCAACGACATCCGACTGGCCAGCCAATCCAAGAAGGGTTGCTTCCCTCAGTACCATGTCCAGCCCGTTGTACTGAAAACAGTCTGTGTACGGTTGATCATTGAAGCAGGTTAGGGGTGTGATTCTACAAAGAATTCCCTGATTCAAAATGCCAAACAAAAACACTTGCGTCTTCCTCAGACACCCAGTGCATGCCATTCGTTGATGGGACATGTTGGGACTCCTTATTGAAAACCATGTTTACTGATCAACTCGTTTCTAGTCCAGTAACAACTACAAGAGTACAGTACTGTTTACGGAATGAACGACATGCAAAAAAAACAAACTACATGCGGCTCTTCCAACGATCACATTTGATCACCAAACAAAGTCACTGTAGTCCAGCTTGGCACAGGAGACGGCCACTCTTCCAAGACTTCGTGCGCTCAGCTGGTCGACTCTCCACATGAGTTGAATGGACATGGCCATCAACATCCTCGGCGAGGGGAGCGTGCGAAGTGCGACGTGTTTTCGGACGTTTTTTTTTCCGGAATGATCGGGAGCGCTTAAATAGGGAAAAAACACTTGATGCTATAGAGATACTACATTGCAATGTATACATTAAACATTGATATACTATATAAACAACAATGCAAAGTGCATATAACTAGATTATACTAGATTGCTTAGAAGTAGATCACTAGATTATGAGTATGTACAATGATCCTACAAGATCTCCAAGAATTTGTTTCAACTTTTGGCCTTGACATCTCTGTGGACAAACATGTCTTGAACAAAAAACACCAAAAACAACAATAGCCTCTCATCATCTCTCATCTACATCACCAGCAACTAACATATCATATAATTGTCAATGGGATGCTTTGATTCTCTGGAGTATCGCCAAGGGTTTGGAGGGTGGCCCCGAAAGAAAATCCCGGCCAAGACAAAGCACTGCAAAGTCGGGTCCTGTCTCCACCAACCGGCCGGGATCCAAAGCAACATGACCCCGAACGCAAATCAATCTCCTATGTTGGTTCTATGTTGTTGTCCCAACTTCTGCACAACACTTCGCAAGAATGGATGATGGAGTTTTGTGAGCCTCGGGCCTCAGGCAACCAATTCCCACAACTATATACCCGAAGAGACTCCAAGCTCGGGCCCGAGCTCGGGGCTGGCAGGGGGAGGAGTCGGGCCTTCTCCACCGTTTCACGCAGGGGCGAAAACGGACCCAAACCAAACCCTATGATCCCTATGTACATATATGTAATATATATATATATATAATATGTTTTTGAGGGCCCGGATTCTTGGGGTAATACAACAGTGGACAATCATGTTCGATGAGGCTCTTGACCAACATTTTTCGATCAGACTCTCTTTCTCCGCTCAGCGTCGGTTCGTGTTCGAGTTGCAACCTCGGACGGATTGCTGGAACGGACGAACGGATTAAAGGAACCTCGGAACGGACCTATCTGTCCGAGAGCGTCTGCAACACAACATTGCGCAAACACGTTCTGAGCGTCTTTTGATTTGTGGGAACATTCCACAGATTTCCACTGTCCCTCTTTCCCAAAAATATCCAAAAATAACACAAACGTGTGGTGAACATTCTGGTGCTTGGGGATCTCCCACGATTCAGAGACAAATGCTTGTGGAGTGAACACATGGAACTTGAACAAGGACAAACACGCCTAGCTCGCTTACTTAGCTCGCCAAGGGTCGATGTTCATCGTTGCCGAAAAGACAAAATCCGATTCTCAGAAAAAAACACAGTGAAGACACGAGAAACACAGTTGGAGTATGCTGGGCGGGATGATTCTCACACTCGTTTTCGTCCTTTTTGGTCATCCCTGGCGCGAGCCCAACACGATCCAGCTCGCACACATCGAGGAGCTCCGCAGCAGCAGCGAAGCACTGCGCCAGCTGCTCCGCCGTGAGCTCCTCCGCACAGGCGGCGACGTGCTCGGCGAGCCAGAGCAGCGCCTCGCCAGGCGGGACGAGACGCGTCGGTCGGTGTCCAGTCATGGTCTCGGTCTGGCTTTTGACTGCAAAAAGGGATTAGAGACTGATCTGGTCTTGAAACACCCTACAGTACAAGAGTGGTGTCTCACAAGAGTATTGCCGCAAAAGCCGGTTGCTTTCCCAGATCGCCGGGATCCGCTGGGAATAAAACCGGGAACTCGTTTTTAGGCTGATGTGGCAAAGGGCTCGAATGGAACCTAGTGAATATCTTACAATTTAACACTACAGGCGATGTTTTCTTACAGACCATGGCACATTCTGAAAAAAGGAGCATGGAACTTGATGACTTGATGCAACGGACGTTGACCACGGACCAAACTTTCTGATGAACATCTCCGTTGCAGGTTTACCGACGACTCACACAGTTCAAACGAACCAAACCCCACCTCCGATCAAAGCACCTTGCATCAATGTGGAATAAAAGAACATGCATGCAAGGAGTACAAAAGGCACATGCCATGCTGACAAAAACACACGGCAGTAGCTATGCTCATTTCAGAACCCCATCCGCGGTTCAGAAACTACGTTTTGGAAACTATGTGACTATATGTGCGGCGGCATTTATTCGGTACTAAACTCAATTACACTATACAGTATGTGGGGGCCTTATCCTGTTTAGACGACTTAAGAAGGAGGTCATGTCACAGTATCTCGTTCAGACTACTTTAGTAGCAGATCACACTATCTCGTTCAGACGACTTTCGTGTCATCAAGCAAAAGTATATATCTCGTTTATGTGGGGGCCCTATCTCGTTCACAAGCGAATACTGATGATAGACAAGCAAATACAGCATGCCGTAGACTACTCTAGTACAGCCTAAATAAAAGTGGTTGCTCATAGTGCGTATCACCGACAACGTGTCAGAAACCTGAGTGTTTCAGGAACTTTCCTTCAGGAATTTATGTGCGTTTTAGAAACCACACTTGTGAAGCTACATGCATGTCAAAATTAACAGTATGTCAGTTCGTGTAAACACTTGCTGGCTTGGGCGGGTGGGTGGGGAGGGGTTGGGGCCAACATGGTGACATTCTCTGTGATTACGGCAGTATCTAACTTCAAGTAGACTGTTGCTGGCTTGGAGGGTGGTTCAGGTCCAGGTGAGTGGTGTTTTTTTTGGGTGCTTGGAAGTATACACTCCGCAGCATGTATACGCGAGCGCCTACGCGACATATCAAAAGTATGTGAGGTAGCCTACGCGAGCATGTTCCAGATCGAGGGTTTTGTTGAGGTACCTACGCGGTCGACTACGCGAGGCCTTTTTTGCAGGCTGCCTTCACGGAGCAGAT